TTTTTAAATTAATAATGTTATTAATATTAAACATAATACGTTAACACCCCATCAGAGATGAATCAATTCTCCTTCTCAAAATATTTATTAATATTAAATTATACTTATATTTAATTACTATTATTAAATAATTATTATAGTTATTATATATATTTTTAGTTTTAATTATATTCTTAATATATTAATACACAAAATGAATTCTCATTTTGAGAGAACGATTCTCCTTCTTTCTAAGATTTTTTATTAATATTAAATTATATTTTCATTTAATTATTATTATTATTAAATAACAATTTAGGTTTGTTTTATATATATTTCGTATTAATAATGTTATTAATATATTCATATTTATAAGAATTTTATTTATTAGTGTATTAACGATAAATTATTAATTTTATAATTATTAAATATTTAAAATATTTTATAATATATAAGTATTTAAATTTGATAAGTTAATTATAAAATATAATATAATTATAAATTTTAGTGAAGAAAATATGTAAATTATATAAATAACATAAAAAAATATATTCAATAATCTCGATATTAATACTAATAATATTGTAAATATTCATTTTAATTTCAGAAAAAATATCAATAATATAATAATAATAATAATATCGTTAGTGTACTAGTAATAAGAAAAACTAGATGAAATAATGTACATAAATAAATAAATAAATAAATAAGAATATAAATTTATTATTTTTATAATGTGTTTAGTTTTATATTTTTTTCATTTTTTTCCTTATATAATTATTTTTATATGAAATCTACTATAATAATTATTTTAAAAATTATAGTAAGATGATTTTTTATTACTAGTTTACAATAATTTTATTGTGAAACAATTTAAAAAAATGAGTAAACAATTTTTTTAAAATTTTCTATTTTAAATAATAACTCACATTTCATTTTAACATAATTTACCTTAATTACATTTTATTTTAAATTATATTTTTAAGATAAGAGTAAAATTACAATCTTACAATTTTATCAACTAAAACATTTTTTTTAATTTATCAAACCAATTCCATTATTTGTAAATTTTGATAAATTTTCTTTATTCATTTCTTATCAATTTTCTCTTAATCCAAACAACTTCATTTTTACCTCTTTTTTTCCTTCCAATCCACTCATTTTTACTTTTTAAAATTCATCTTTAGCTTGTGTTTGTTCCAACATATATAATGTTCACTCGGATGAAAGAGAATGATTATTCGTGTTTGCATCCAACAATTTGAGGAGAAAGACACAAACGACTTTGAGGGAGAGTTGGAAAGAATGACTCTCACGTACTTAAAAAAACAATGGAAGAAAAGGAAAGGAGAGTAAAGTTACACTCTTGTCCTCCTTCTCATAATTCATAAAGAGTGGAATAATGCAACATTCACTTGGTTTTGTGCATGCATGCAGCGTACATAGGGAATCGTTTTAGAGGCTAGATGCATCCGATCCATGCAAAGAATCATGATTGTGTTTGTAAAGGGGATCATTAGAGCTCAACCACAACCCTCATATGCAATAACAATTGTTTTTTGTCCCAGCAAGCGAGAGTGTTATTAAATATATGAGAGATGGGATCGTTCGTGGAGGTGAGTTATTGTTTGGTGTGTGAAGTGAGTTCATATTGTTCATTTGTGAGAGTTGAGTTTGTTGAGGTTGGTTTGGTATGTGGTGTGCGTTCCTGGTGGTGTTTGACCGAGAAACTGGTTGAGAGAGGCGAAGAGAATCACAAATAATTGATTTTCGTATCTTTGACTGGTGGAGAATCGATTCTTCCTTCTTTTGAACGTAAGAGAATCTATTATCCCTGAGAGCATAATCGATTCTCGCTTCTTTCATGCATGGATAATCAATTCTCCCTAAGACCAAAATCAATTATCAGCCTCCTTTATTTGTGGATGCATGTGATAATTGATTATAGATGGATGCATGTGATTATTGATCATAGATGGGTGGTGGTGTTGTACATGAGTGATGTTGTTGTAAATGGTGTTGTTGTGTTGTTGTTCTCTATCCATATAGAATCGATTATATGAGAGTTGATAAAACGATAATCTATTTTCGCTTAGTTTAAATGCACGAAATTTAATTCTCACTTGGTTTGAATGCATGAGAATTGATTCTCATTTCCTTTACCTTCAACAATAATTTATTTTTAAATCATTTATTAATATTAAATAATGTATTTAATTACTATTATTAAATAATAAATTATGTTTGTTATATATATTTTTAATATTAATAACGTTATTAATATATTTCTCGAGTGAGAAGAGAATCCTTTTCCTTCTCAAATTATTTATTAGAATTAATAAGATAATGATTCTCATCCATTCTCAAATTTTTTATTAATATTAAATTATAGTTATATTTAATTATTACTATTAAATAATTATTAGGATTTGTTATACATGTATTAATGTTATTATTATATTAATATTAATAAGGATTTTATTGATTAGTGTATTAATAATTTTATAATTATCAACTATTTAAAATATTTTATAATATATAAATATTTGATATGATTGTGTAAACTAATTGTAAAATATAATTATAAATTTTAGTGAAATAATATATAAATTAGATAATCCATGTCAAAAAAATATTATTAATATTGTAAATATTAATTTTAATTTTAGAAAAAATATCAATATAATAATAATAATAATATTATTATTATTATTATTATTATTAATTTATTAACACTTTAAATAAAATAGAATAAAATTAGTTGAAATAATAATACATAAGAATCTAAATTTATTATTTTTATAAGGTGTTTAGTTATATATATATTATAATATTTTTATATGAAATCTATTATGATAATTATTTTAAAAATTATAGGAAGATGATTTTAATTATTAGTTTACAATAATTTTAATGTGAAACAATTCAAAAAGCATGTGGGTAAACAATTCTTTTAAACTTTTTTATTTTAAATTATATTTTTAAGATAAGAGTAAAATTGTAATCTTATAAACTAAAACATTTTTTTAACCTATCAAACCATTCATATAACTTACAAACTTTTCTCTCATTTATCTTCTTATCTTATCAATTTTCCCTTTAATTCAAACAACTTCACTTTTATTTCTCTTTCCCTTCAAATATATGCATTTTCACTCCCTCAAATGTATCTTTAAATCCAAAGACAGGTGTGAATTTAAGGAGACCATAAATTGTTTACTTCTGCTGATATGAGAAGAAATACAGATAAATGAGAATGATATAGAGGAAGTTTCATTTTTGGGAGATTGAAATGCAGAGAAAAGAGTTTATATGACCAATTTAAACTCATACATGCAGAAAAAGAAATACTTAATCGAATAAGTAAACTTATATAATCGAAAATCACGAATATATGAAAAAAATATTATTATATTTATTATATATATATATAAATTAATATTAATAATATATAATATTATAGTTATACGTAATTTTATGATTTTATAATTTTTTATTATAATAAATTTTATACATGATTTTTAATTAATAGTTTAAATTTATTTTTATATAATTTTGAAATTAATTATTTTTATAAAATAATCTATATTTATTTATATTAAATTTTAATTAAAATATTTAATAATTTAATAAATTATTTTATTAATATACTAACATTCTTATATTCAAATATATTATAATTATTATTTTTATTTAATTTATCTATTTCAATAATCATTAACAAAATTATTATCTAATTTTTTTATATTCAATCACATTAATTATAATAATCATAAAAATCTGCATAAATTCTTTCAAATGTACAAATTTTTTTCCTCAATCCAAATATCCATTATCCATTTTAAATCACCTTACATTCATGATACAAATACATAAGCGTGCGTTGACTACATGAATTTGAATACCAATTTCTAATTTAATTTTCAAAAAGCACGCAAGCTTTCAAGTTTCAACGTCAGTTTTTTTCAAAATCAAATTAAAGTAAAGTAAATGTGCGGTTCTATGTTAGTTTCCGTTCACACAGTTCGACTGTCGAGGCGTCCGTGGATGTGGGGCCCATACTGCATGACCCACAGTAGTTACTGTTTCTGCTCTGTCAACTTCAAAAGTATTAGGTTTAATTTTTTTTATCTTCATTATTTATGTTTTATTTTCATCATCTATTAACACAATACCTAATTTTATAAATATAATAATATAACATTGATCAAATCTTCAATTCATATATATATATATATATATATATATATATATATATATATATATATATATATATATATATATATATATACACCGAGATTTAATCATATTTTCAATATTTTAAATTTAACAATATGACTCTACTATATATTTGGTTAAAACTGTATTATATAAATTTAAACGGTCAAGGTATATTTATATGATTTTACTATTCAGTAAATTAAATAAATAATATAATAAAAACAAGTAAGCCCAAAATATTACTATCAAGTCAAACATAAAATATCTTAAAAGTTTCTTTACAAAACTTCTTTAATAATTTTATAAAAAATATTCTGTAACAATTAAAAAATGATTTAATTACTCATTTAATTTTTATAATTATTTAAACTTTATCTTTTAATTTTTATTTAAAATATAGTATTTTTATATTTGTAGTGTCCATACATATCATTTTACCGTTTTATTTTGCAATTATAATAATTAAAAAAATGTAAAATAAATTATAAATAACAAAACCACCTATTCTTATGGGTATTTTGAGAAATTGAACTTGAAACGTTCACTTGAACCTTTTTCTCATTTTCTCCCTCCCACTGATTCCTGTCCGTTGCCAAACACTTGAACGCGACACGACAACATCTTGTGTACTACTAAAATGCAACACAAACACTAAGCTTAGTTTCTTGTCGCTTTCCTTCTACCTCTGTTTTTCACTTTGTGTTCTTTTGTCGCGTGCTACAAATTGTAACAAGGACGAACGAGTGTGTGTATTGCTGCTTTGCTTTTGCTTTTGGTTCCGTTTGTTTGTGCAGGTGGCGATGGAAATAGGAGGTGCTGACGTGGCCGGAACGACAACGAATCAAGGCGAATGGAGTTCGGAGAAGAAGAGTTTGAGAACGGAGGTTGATACTTCAGCACCCTTTGAATCGGTGAAGGATGCGGTCACAATGTTTGGGGGTGTTGGTTACTGGAAACCCATTCATAGTAATATTATTCCGTGTGTGCCTTCTCATTCTGAGGTACTCTCTTCTCTCTCTCTATAATTGAGTTGTGGCACTACTATGTTGTAGCGCAAGAAGGTGAAAATGCTACCATTTCGTTGTTTTGGTTTGTTCCTTCCCTGTTTCAGTGGAAAAGGTGGGACCTTTGTGGATGGAATCTTGAATGGTGTCTATGTTGTTTTACTTGTGTGGATTCTTTGTTGTGTTTCTGAGTGTAGTGGAAGAAAACGGGGTTCTTTTGTTTTAGTGTTTGTTGTTCGTGTGGTAAGTAGTGATAGGTTGAGGTGTATGGACCCATTTGTGATATTTCCTTAGTGTCTGCTGTCGAAACAATTGTTTTTGTTGTGGTTCTATGTTGTTTCCTTTGCCTCGTGGGTTAAGATTTCGGGACTCTTTCAAGATTAAGGTTTTAAGTTGTGGTCGCAGTCTATTTTTGTTGTGTTGTTGGTACTGCAGGAAATTGCGGCTACAATTGTGGTCGGAGACTCCAAAAACCTTGATCTTGCGGCCAAAATTGTGGTTGTAGACTGTTTTATAAAACCTTGTTAAAGGTTTAAGAGATTAAGAAACTCTTTGAAGGTTTAAGAGATTAAGAAACTCTTTAAAGGTTTTAGAAACGATTTACAGTTGCAGCTACTATTGTGGCACAATGTCAAGTTTTTTGGGGTCTCTCTGATGATCATAAATGTGGCCGCATTAGTTTTATTTGTTTTTAGTTTTTGGCCATAATCATGACCGTAATTGCAATTTAGAACGTTGGACTTATGGTTTAGTTCTAAGTGAGGGGAGGAACTGGAAAAATAAAAGCATCTTATTATTGGAAGAAAGGCCTAAATTGGAGGGAGAGAGTTGGGGTCCCTCATTTTTCCTTCCCTTCCCTCTAATCCTTTGAAGCAACCGGCAATTTTTATTCAAAGCCCTCTCTCCTTCCTTATTGTTATATTTCTGTTTTGAGGATTGAATTTTATGAACTGTAGTTTAAGTCATGTATGAAGAATGTTATCAAATCTGGGAGAAAAGATGAAAATGCTATCCTTGTATTCATTTCCTGATGTTAAACTGGAATGAAACACTTAGTGTTTTCAGGCCAAACTTGAAATACTTTAAAAGTGCTTTGTGGTGTTGTTTGCCCATTAGAATTGAATTTCGCTCCGGTAACCTATGTTGTTCTTTAACTTAAACCTTTATTATGCGGATCACTATATTGAAACATCAATTTTGATGAGAGAACAATACCAAAAGCACTTAAGGATTTGTCCTTGACATAATACTTATTTTATTCGTTAAAGTTTGTTTTGCATTACACTTCCTTTTTCAAGTGTTGGTTGAGCTAAATTCTCAAGTTTCTCCCATCCCCTTTGGTTAGCAGCACCACATAGAAGAGCTCAGCGCTGAAAAGCTGGAGGAGCAGGCTTCGGTATTGGAGAAAGAACTGATCTTGAAAGAAAGGGAAACTCTTGATGTGTTGAAAGAATTGGAAAGTACCAAAAGGCTTGTTGAAGAATTGAAATCAAAGATACAGAAGGAAGAGTCTGAAGTGAATTTGAATCATCAGTTGAGCGAATGTGATAGAAAATCAGTTGTGGAGGAGAATGAAGAAAAGGAAAACCAAATGAGTCAATTGAATGTTCTTCAACCTTCCAGGCAAGGTTTTACCGGCCATCTTTCATCTAAGCCGGGTTTAATACTAATGGAATTGAAGCAAGCCAAGTTGAATTTAACCAGAACTACGACTGACCTGGCTGATGTCCGAGCTTCTGTTGAATTGCTTAATAAGAAGTTAGAGAAGGAAAGAATCTCACTTGAGAAAACAAGTGAGAGGTTAGCTCAAAATACTTCAAAAATAACTTCTCTTGAGGAAGAGCTACACCATACCAGACTAAGGCTGCAAATAGCAAAAGGTGCTGAAATTAAAGATGCTTCTGATGATCCATCAGTTATTACAAGAGAGATCCAGAGATTGAGTTCTGAGGCAGAGAATTTCAAAATAATGGGAGAATCTGCAAAATCAGAAGTTCTGAGAACTATGTCTGAGATTGAACAGACAAAAACCATGATAAGAACTGCTGAAATCAGATTGGTTGCGGCCAGAAAAATGAAAGAAGCTGCTAGGGCTGCTGAAGCTTTTGCCCTTGCAGAAATTAATGCATTATCTAACCATGAGAATGAGAGTTTACCTGGAAATCAGATTACTCTTTCATTTGAAGAGTATACTGCTCTGACTTGCAAAGCCCAAGATGCAGAGGAACAATCTAAGAAGAGAGTTGCAAATGCTATGCTTGAAGTTGATGAAGCAAATTTGTCAAACATGGACATTTTAAAAAAGGTAGAAGAAGCTGCAGAAGAAGTAAAAACCAGCAAGAAGGCCCTTGAAGAAGCTCTAGAAAGGGTAGAAGCTGCAAATAGAGACAAGGTAAAAGTTGAAGAGGCATTAAGGAATTGGCGCTCGGAGGGTTACAAAAGACGTTCTATACAAAACAATACCAAGTTCAAAAACTCTTGTCCTTCTCACTATCGGAGAGATCCTCGGTTACTCGATGTTAATGGATTACATCTGGTAAATGATGAGGCCAAGCCAGTTCTAAAGCCAACCCTATCAATAGGACAAATACTTAGCAAGAAGCTGCTTCAACCACAAGAGTTTGAAGCCGGAGAAAGAATCTCTATGAAACAGAATGTTTCTCTGGGTCAAATGCTTGGTAAACAAAACACTGATCCACCAATTGATGATAGGCAAGTTGAGAAAGAAACTGGCCATAAGCTTTTTTCTACCAAGAGAAAGAAATTTGGATTTGTACGATTCTCTCATATCTTGTCAAAACAGAAGAAGAAGAAGCCAACCCTGAATTTGAGGTGATATATTCTTTGAACAATTTGCTCAATCTGACAAAAGCTAGACTCTAGTTGCATCTTTTATCAGTTCATTTCTGAGTCTCCTGTTATGCTTGGTTGAATGGAATCTTGTTTTTTTAACAGTATTTAACTTCTTTTTATTTATTTTTTTAAGGTTGCAATCCCTGCTTGTATAATGTATATTAACTACCTAGGTGTGCACTTCCATTTGCTAGTTGTAGAGATGATTCATATGAATTCATAACCTTGTATTATGGTGCTATAATTTTCATTTGCGTAATGTTTTACTGTTCTATTTACAGAGTTCTATACAAAGCTAGATTGTGAGTCTAGCTGTAGTATTTGATTATTTGTAAGGATTTTTAGGAGTTTAGAGTATTTCACATATTATTCAATTAACATTACTAAACCTAAACCTCTTATTCGTAATTACTTGCTAAAGTGATCCTTAAAATGTGGTTAAGTTGGTTCTTGATGGTTTTACTCCATCTTATATTTTGCAATTCAAGTCATCATCATTTTTTTTATTATATTTTATTGTTCAACCTTATCATATTTTGGTTAAAATGCAAGTTTTTGAGAAATAAATCATTGTTTTTCTAAATTTATTGATTTTTTGCTTAAAAACATCATTAATTTTATTATGAGTGTAAATTATAATAGTTGGTAAAATTATTATTTATATTTAATAGATCTTAATACGATATAATAGTAAATATTAATATCTTCATAGAAGAATATGTAGCAAAACGAATAAATTGTAAAAGAACGTTCAATAAGTTTTGACGAAGATACACAATTGATTTGTATCCACACTTCATAAAATATTATTTTTCAAGATAATTATAGGTATATATATTAGAAGTATAATATATTTTAATGATTTTAGAATTTGTGCATCATTTATTGATTATTATCAAGCCACTATAGAAATATCTAAACACAAGCATTATAGTTTTATTAAACATAAACGCTAAGTATCTCACCATTACGAGAAAACATTTTTTTATAAAGCAATTGAGTGTATCTTTAATACTTTTTTTATAAAAAAAATCCTTAATTCAAGCAATTTAATTAATTTTGTACTTTAGTAAAAAAATTTATTAACAAATTATTTAACAACAAATATATATATATATATATATATATATATATATATATATATATATATATATATATGTGTGTTACATTTCATATTCTTTTTTTCTTGTTATTTAATACAAAAGTTAAATAACTCGTAAAAAATAGTTATTTATATTAATTTTTTTATATAATTTTAAACAACCAAAAATATATATGCCATTATTTTTTTTAATTAATAATCAGTCCATATAATATAGTTAAGCAAGCCCTTTGATTATGAAGAATATTATTTTTATTTTTTCTCTTTAACCAAATAAAAACACAACTTTCTATCATCTCTATGGTTTTTTCCACAAGTCAAAAAATTGATAATCAAGTGGAACCAGAATCCAATGTTAAATTTTACAAAAAAAATCACAAATTTGCAGTGCATAATTAAGAATGGTGTTTTTTTTTTCATAAAAAAGGACCTGGTTTGGTGATTTCTCACGTTTCATGCTTCTGTCGGATTTCGCGATGTTTCCTTTCACTGTTTGGCGATGTTTCTTAATTAAAATATATTAATGGGGGAGAGTTTTTCACACTAATATTGAATTATATACTATCAGGTGTAATAATATTATTAATCTTTAGTACTTATCTTAAAATTTATATTTAGAACAGTTCCTAATGATTCATAGTACACTATAAAAATATACAGAAACGAAGTTCTTAACTTTTATAATTTAACCCATAAAATAAATTTCTATTTATCTTATACATTATTTTAGAATATTAAAATAATTAAAAATATATATTTCCTTTTGCCTTTTTAGTAAATATATGTAAACTTTTTCCATATATATATATATATATATATATATATGATCAAAGCTTAAAAGGTAGGAATTAATGGCCTAAAGTACATGAATTTGTTTTTTCTTCTCCACATATAAAGAAAATTCCTACCTTTTAAGCTTTGATCGATGTTATATCAATTCAATCCACCGTTTTTAACGCATTACCTATGCTTTTGTCCATCGACGTTGTATTGGATTGTTCTGTTAAATTCGAAGTTTTCACAAATCCATAATACTAAATAATCAGGTACCAATTTTCTAATTTTTGAAAAATAGAGAGTACATTTTTGAAACTATAGAAAATATCAAAGTAGAACGAAACCCCACAACCAGGGTTGCGTAAGAATTAATCCTAATGTTGATTTTTCTTTTCACTTTTTCAGTTTTCTGGTTACAGTCTTCGACAGATTTTTCTTTTGATCATGTCCCTTGATTTTGTTCATCAGAGCTAGATTCCTCCTTGATTCTGCCACGTACTGATAAAGTGAGAGGCACACAGTCCTCTCCATGGAGCTCCCACACTTGCAACCTACCAATGCAGGTGAAGATAGCATACGAACAACCATTCTTCATTGCACCAACTACCACGACACTCCATGTTCCTTCAAGGAATCACTACCATTTTATTTCTCTATAAGTATTTCTAAATTGGACCAACACTAACAATTTATTTCCTTTCGCTTCACTTTGTTTTCAAATAAAAGGTAATCTTTCTTTTCTCCATTCCTTGCTTACTCTTTGCTTCCAAGGAAACCACTCAGAAAAGTAGTATTCTGTTTTCTCTTTCTTACCACCCACTACTAATGACTAATCCTCAATTTTTTTTCATTTCCCCCGTTAGTCTAATTTTTTTTCCCATATCATGTGAAGCATTCAACGATTGTCTGTTGTAAAGTTAATTGGTCTTGCTTGTTGCTTCTACTTCAGTTTTCTATTACCTGTGTTGGATGACATCATGGTTCAGCCAGATTTTTCAGTTTTGATCATTGGTTTATGGTTTATCATTGCTGACAAAATATTCTCAACTGGGATTTTTCTTTTCTGGGGAGAGGATGAACTGAACTTTGTTGGCTTGATTATAGCAACTTAATTAAGAATTGTGCTGTCTAGGTAACTTCTGAAGTACATACGGTGATTTAAGAGTTTCACATAAAAAAAATTTATGGTCTCAACTCTTACTATGCTCTTTTCTGCTTCTGTGTGTCTGCAACTGTGTTCAACACCAATATGATATATATTTTTGCAAGTGTCTGAGTAAATTATATTTAACTGATGCCGTTGTGCCATCAAAATGGCATCATTTCTTATTTCATTTCAAAAATGCTTGAAACATCAGACTTTGTCATTTTAAAAAGAATTAATTGTTTTGCTATAGGAACCATGGAAGGGAGAATGGGACTGTTGTTTATTGTGATATTGGGTGCTGCTTGGGCTTGTGATGCAAGAAAAGTGGCTAACCTTGATCAAATGAGAAATAATACAACAAACTCTGGTACTTCTGGTAACATTGATCTCTAATTTCATTATTAGCTTTCTTTGTCTCTGATTATCCTGCTTAGGAATACAATAGAGTGGAGTCATATATTGCACATGACATTTTCAACCCCCTCATTTATTAATCTGTTTTGGTGAACGTGAAAAGTTTAAGGAGTGGCAGGTTGGTTATGCATAGATTTTTCCTACTCAGCAATTAAGACAACGCTTGCACTCATAACTAGTCTATTGTAAAAGGTAGGATTAGATTAAAATAAAGGGTGGTTTTGAAAAGTTTGCGGTTTGAAATTACAGGAGATTGGGATGCAGTATTGAAGTAATAGTAGTATATATTTTTAGTTGAAACATGTGAATTTATGTGAAACTCCTCAAAAAGCTCAAATTGCTCTCCCTCGCAATAATGAAGAGACAGAAGTTAAGTAACGACCATATAGTGTATACCTTATCAATGGATGAAACAGTTATTCAGAAAACGAAACCAAATAATTCTGTTTAAGATAACTTAGTTTAAATTAAGGAATAATTGGAAAGTTTATGTTATATTGTTTAGACCAATAGATATAGGACACTTTTCCAGGATGACCTATTATGGCAGAAAGGATAAATAATTATGTTAGATTATTTTGGGTGTGCTATGTAAATCTATAGAAATATCATCAAATTAGCCATCTATGATAAGATAAAGAGGGATGTAAAGACAAAAGGTATTGAATGAGCCAACTCATTATATGATCTCTTGAGTCTAGAAGCCTTCCATTGATCAGATGGAGCACCTAGCAAAAAATAAATATTGCTTTTCTTCCTCTGAGCCTGACTAATGAGTTTCAATTTAATCAAAAGACTTTTCCATTAGAAGAAATTATGTTTGAATCCTTGGAACTTTGTTTTGAATAATTTTCTGTTAAATATAGTTTAAAATGCAAATGTTGCATAAGTCATCTTGTTGACCTATGTTCAAATTGCAGAACTAAAAATAAAACCGGATCTGTGTGCACTTTGTGAGGAATTTACTACCAAGGCACTGGACTATCTGAAGCAAAACAAGACCAATCAAGAGATCATTGATATCCTGCACAACACATGCCACCTGCTTCCCTCTTTCAAGCAGAAGGTTGTTCTCAATTTCTCTGAAAATCAACTTTAATATCTCTCTATGATCTCTAATGTTTAAAAAAATAACAAATCATCCGATGTGAGACTATATACGAACTCATTTGTTTCTTCTGTATTGCACAGTGCACTGCTTTGGTGGACTATTATATTCCTACGTTCCTCTCGGAAGTAGATTCAATTCAGCCTAGAGAATTCTGCCACAAGATCATTATCTGTCAACAAATTGAATATATTTCCTTGCAAGTTCAAGAAGATACTTGCGAGTTTTGCGAAGAAACTGTTTCAACTCTATTGGCTAAGTTGAAAGATAGTGACACTAAGGTGAGTAATTTCTTCTTCTTTCGAATCTAACGAAGTGCGGCACTGTGGTGTGAGATTTTACTTCATCTGTCCTTATATGAGCAAACTTTAGTTTCAAGTTTTACACGGCTTTCATAAAAACCCTGATGACTGTTGCATGCTTGAATTACTTTCACAGTTTTAAAATGATTGGATGAAGATTTTGAATCCAAATTAGACTTTTTTATTTTATTTTATTTGAGAAAGCATATGGTTGCAGCAAAATCAAAAAGGAATTTTATATTACAATGTTCAGGGGTAGCAAATATATGTAATATGTAGATTTCTGCCATCTTTGTTCACTTTAAAGTCCTCTACTATCTTTACTTTGACCTCTCCAATGTGGTAATCCTGGCACTACCCTGCTTGGTTTAGATGATCTTTTGTTGAATAAACTGCTAACCATTTATTTCAAAATGTCAGCTAGAGATAATTGAGGCATTACTGAAGGTGTGCAATTCAGTGGAGAAGTATGCAAATAAGGTGAGCAAAGTCTGACAAATTCCTCTACTTTCCTCAATTTGTACTTGTTTCAATTTTCAACTTTTATCCTATTGACCAAATTGCCATTATCATGCTTGGAACCCCAGTAATTTCCTTGCAATGATAATAATTTCATGGACTTGACAACAAGTTCTTTACCATCAATAATTGACTCTGGTGTGAAATTTCTGGATGCTCATTGCACCTCCCAGATAAACAAAATCTACAACAATTATCTTCAGATAGTGGGGGGAAGGATTTTTTGAATTAAGGATAGTGATTGAACTAAAAGTTTTGTAGTGTTGTGTAAAGTGCACTAGAGCATAGTTTTCCTAATCCCATTTTGACTTGATTACTCATTTTTTTCTTCCAAATTGTTTGCAGTGCAAGAAAATGGTTTTGGAGTATGGAGTCCTGGTTTTTGACAATGCTGAGAAATTCCTAGAGAATCTGGATATATGCACTGTAATACATGCCTGCAAATCTTCTGATGTAGCTGGCGAGCAAGCGTTTCTTTCAGACTCTTAATTATAGAAACAAAGCGCTACCAGATTTATGGTCCTCTTGTTGCTGTAAGATTTCCATATAAAATGTAATAAGGAAAAGGAAGAGGAAGAGTACAATTTCGAAACATTGTCAGTGTAAAGTTTTTAATACTAGTTAATTATTGGTCAACACATTAATTATTTGAAACTTACTGTGTAGTGGTTGTGATACTCAAGCTTGTTTAATTATTTGAAAATACGTAATCGTATGTTTGCATGTAGTTCTTCAAAAGAAAATCGTTACATATCATGTTACATTTGCTAAAATTCTGAATGCATCTATCTGGGGTTGCCAAATTCAAAGTGTGAATATGTATAAAGTGAGAAAGTATAAGGATGATAAACTTTTAACTAAAATTAAAGTACACCATAAATTTTGAACGAGACCTATACAATATAATTGCATAGGAGTTGCTTAAGAAGACCCAATAATAATGACAATTTGGTTTTCTAGATATGTTAGACAACATTAATTGATTGAATTGAAAATGGAAAAATTGTCCAAAGAGATGAAAAGATGAATTTTGTCATGGTGATGTCCCACCACAATTGTGTTCAAAATGGTTACATTGCACAACTTATGGGTTTGAAAGACGGATGACAATTAAATTCGTATCCATGAGGATTGTCCTCACTCTTTAAGTTTGACGAGGAGATCGAGTTAACTGAGAGTGGGAACGAAGTTGAGTTTTTCTCATTTTAAAAAGTCGGGGGTGAAGATGAGTAATATAATCTTCACTCCGTTCCCGATCCAATTTTATATTTAAATTGAAATTTTAAAATATTAATATTTTAAAAGTATTTTTTTTCTATTACATATAATATTATTTTTTTATATTTCACCATTTTTACTTTTCTTTTATCCACTTTTTAATTCTTTTGTCTTTTTTAATATTTTATATTAATTAGTTTACTACATTATTATCTTTCTCTTACCTTTCAGCTTTTCACATTTCCTTAATTTCTTCAATCAATTTGTTTTTTTTTCAATCTTTTCAACCAATTTGAAGGATACAAAGTTAATTTTTTCTTCTTCTTTATCTTTTTCTAAATATTTTACATAAATCTTACTAATAACTAATATTATTTTATTTATTATTTATATTTATTAGGTTTTATTATGTCATATTTTTGGGATCTTATTATTCTTATTTGTTATATATCAAATTTTATCTTAATAAAATAATTGTATTTTAAAAGAGTAAAAAGAATTGATAATTTAAACTTTTATTACTTCGAACTAATTAAATAAGAATTAACTTATTAAATATTTCCTTATAAACTATATATTTCATATTTTTAAATGACAACTTAAAAATGAATTAACTTATATATATATATATATATATAATTAAATATTTTAATACAATATTATAATAATAATAATAATAATAATAATGTTATAAATATTATATAAAGAAAAAATGATTAAATATTTCTTTTACATACATATTTTAATATAAATATAATAAATTAAAAAATATATTTAATTAATAATAATTACAAATTATAAATATATATGTATAAAAGATACATAAAAATAGTAAAATTAATTTATTATAAATATAATTATCTTGTTAAAAATAATATAAATCGAGAACGGACTGAAGCGGAGAAACCCGAAATCCAACGAGAATAAAAACTTCATTTTTAACTCTAACAAGAATTGGGGAAGGGGACAAAAATGATTAAAAAAGTCGAAAACTAAAATCGGAGAAACAAAACCCACATCCGACCGAATTGCCATGCCTAGTTTGAAATGTATATTTTTCTTTTACAAGTTTAAACAAGTAGATCAATGTACTAGATACCTCAATATAACATGGGTTACTATCAAGCATATGCTATTTATTTACAATGAAGGATCCTGCGAAGTCCATCTAAGACAGTGAAAAAATTGTTTACTAAATATAAAAAAGGATGACGAGCATCCCTGCTTCAATTTTGATTTGCAATTGTATAATTCAAAGTTTTTTATTTTTAAAAAATAATAGTTTATAAATAATATACGACAAATTTAGTAATACAATGTAAATGTTTTTTTCTAGATATTAAGATATTTTTAATATCTTTTAAGACAAAAATATTAGATTATTATTTTAATTTATCCCGTTATGATATAAATATTATTAATATTTAATGTTTTGTAATATTTTTACTTTATATGTATAGATAGAATACATGAATAAATTATATACCCATATAAGATATATTTTTATATATCACAATAGAATTGGATGTATAAAAAATTGTAAAAAATGATTACATCATTGAACTGCTGCTTGAAAATCCTACCATAGTTCAAATAAAATTTACATAGAGAAAAAAAAAATGAGGAAGGTAAAAATTAAATTATATCAGTTTGTTGGTATTTCACAAATGATTCTTACCAGAATCATAATGCTAAAGTCACCCAAAGAAATTTGGAATTATTTTTAAATACAAAGAATGCAAGAACCTTAAACAATTAATGAATACTCAAATAAATTGTTGAGTATTGTTTCTGATTTCAGAATAATTGAGAAAATTTTGGTAATTGTGTCAGAGAGATATGAAACATTTATTACTTCATTTGAAAATATAAAGGATTTATCTAATATTACATGTTTTACAAGAGCAACAGAGATTAATGAGAGGAGATTATACTCGTTATTAAAGTTTTTTTATTATATCATGGTGAATGTTCTCCCCAAGCCAAGAATAATAAATATATCAAATCACATATCTTTTTTTATGGCCTTATTGCAAGAAAAATAATTACCCACATAACAAGTGTTGATGGAGGCCAGATATAAAATGTCATAAATGTGGTCGATTGAGACATATAAAAAAGATATGCAAATCAAAAGTTATAGATGATAGAATTAAGGAAGAACTCCTTCATGCGTAACATGTTCTACAATTAACAAATTCATAGATTGACTTATAAATAATGGTCCAAAGAGCTCAATGCATATATTATTTCTAAAGTAAGAATTGATAACTAAAAATAAATAAATGTGAAAAATACATAAACAATTATAATTAAAAGTCATTTAGATATTAAATTAATTTTTAATGTTTTATATATTTTTTATATTAATTATAATTTATTAAGTATTGTTTAATTATTAAAAAAATTATAAGATATTTTTTAACATTAAAATTTTATGTGATTAAAAATATAAATAACTTAACAATATTTAAAGTTCACTTAAAAATAAGAAAAATAAAAATATGGACGAACAAACCATGTTCGACCTTTATGAAAGGATTAACGGTAAGTTTGAAAGAAATACAATAAAAAAAAGTGGAAAATTTTCTACCAAATCAAATTCTAAAGTAACGAGTTAAGACTTTGGTTAGTTACTGGAACAATCATCTCTTATATTTATTCAAATTGAAAGTAAAAGAAAAGATTCCTTTGTTACGTAAGAGTTCAGACTAATAATGATTTTCCTTTTCACTTTTTCGGTTCTCGTTAAAGTCTTTGGTAGATTTTTCTTTCGGGAGAGAGAGGCAGAGAGCATCCCAGACAGATGAAGCATCTTGTTTTTGTTCATGGAAGCTAGACTCCCTCTTGGATTCTGAACCATTCCTTGCACCAACCACACGGCACACCCAAGTTCCAGCAAGGAATCATTACCACCTTGCTTCCATTATTCTGTTCATCTTTTCTTTTCACAAAAAAATAAAAAGTAATCTCTCTTCTCTTCCTTCTGGTGTAATTTGCTTCTAATTAAAACGACTCAAAAATATAGTAATATTTTCTCTGAAGTTGCCGCCCTCTAGTCCTCAAAATTAATATTTTCTCGCTTTTCTCTCCCCATAACATGTGATGCATTCAACTATTGCATGTTCTTTTCTTATCTGTGTTGAATGACAATATGGCTCCGCCAGATTCATTTTTCTGGTTCTTTTTCACCTCTGATCATTCGTTTATGTTTTATCATTGCTGACAAAAACTATTCTCCGCCAGGATTTTCTTTTCTCGGGGGAGCATGAACTGAATTGCATGTTTTTTTGGCTTGATTATATCAAATTCAGAATTGTGCCCTTGTAACTTTCGAAGTACTAAAGGTGATTTATGGCCTTAACACTTAGCACGCCATTTTCTGCTTCTGTGTCTACCTTCGTGCTAAAAACAAATATGATATATATTCTTGCAAGTGTCTAAGTAAATTATGTTCTGTCTGTTCAGAAATGGTGTTCTTTCTAGTAGCACTTAAATTTTACTTAATTTTATTTTTTTCCCTGATGGAAGTTGTTATTGAAAAAAAAAAAAAATGTTATGTTGTAGGGACCATGGAGGGGCGAATGGCACTCTTGTTTCTTGTTGTATTGGGTGCTGCCTGGGCTTGTGATGCGAGAGAGCTGGTTAAGCGTGATCAATTGAGCAGTAATACATCAAACTCTGGCACTTCAAACAACTTTGTGCACTAATTTCGTTGTTCACTTTCTTTGACTTTTACTATCCTTCTTAGGAAGTTAATAGAATGGAGGCATGTATTTTAGATGACATTTTCAATCCCCCATTTTTAGTTTGTTGTTTTGGTGAACGTGAAAGTGGCAGGTTGGTTAAGCATTGATTATAACCACCAACACTTAAAACAAATGCTGGCATAGTAAATTGTCAAAACTTAAAAAGTTTATAGTTTGTCATTATCTTGGTATACTAATTTAGTGGGATAATCTAAAACGAGACAAGTGACAAGAGAATGGGATGATGTATTGAAGTGATAGCATTACAGGTCAACTATGTAAACTTCAGTGAACCTTCTCTAATCAGCCATTTCATGAAGAAGTCTTAGTAGTAACACCAGCTGTTAGTTCCCCTCCGCAATTGATTGTGATGAAGTAAAAATGGGTTAAATTAAAGGACGGTTGGAAAGTTTATGGTATCTTGGTTAGACCATTAAATATACGACACTTTTTTGGGATAAACTATAATGGTAAAAGTGACCACCAATAACCATGTTCATTATTTTGATGATGTGCTATGCAAATTTATAGGAGTCTCTTCAAATTTTGATGATCTTAAGATACTTTTGTTGAGGAATTGTATTAAGTGAGGGATGATTCCTATACTCCCTGATTTGCATCTTCCAACAAAATAGTGCAGGTGAAATTTTCGGCTAATTACTGTTCTTAGGCTAAATACTAATGGCCTTATTTGTCAAAAAAACACTAGCCAATTTTGAAAGACTTGCTAGTTTTTATTAGTCCACTGAACCATGTAGGTTTATTGAGCATCGTGTGCATATCTATGGAACTGTTTTGAATAATTTTCTGTCAAACATGGTTTGTTGCATAAATAATCTTGTTGGCCTATTTTCAAATTGCAGAACTTAGCAGAAAACCAGATGTGTGTGCACTTTGTGAGGAATACACTGCCAAGGCCCTTGATTATCTAAATGACAAAAAGACCCAGCAAGAGATCATTGATGTCCTCCACAACACTTGCCACCAGATTCACTCCTTTAATCAGAAGGTTGGTCATTTTCTGGATCTTTTGTGTTTTGGTTTAGATACTGTACTGTTCTCAGTTGATGAAGAAACCAACTCTAATTTCCACTATGCTCTCTAATGTTTAATAACATTGTTACCACCCTCTTCAATTTCAAAGCATGATGGTCTATGATACTTGTAATAACTAGTCATAAAAAGAATAACCAAGCTCAGTTTTGAGGTCAAATGAACGAGATAACATGAAACTTGTACAAATTGTGAGTCTTAAAGCAATACTCTCTTGGTCAGACAACCATCAAGACATTTTGAACTTCACAGGAACTTCACATAAGTGAAAGAATCACAATTTATCAAACCCTATATGAATTCCTCTGTTTCTTCTGTATTGCACAGTGCATTACTTTGGTGGACTATTATGCTCCTCTTTTCTTCTTAGAAATAGCTACAATTCAACCTGGAGAGTTCTGCCACAAGATCAATCTCTGTCATCTCATTTCATATATTTCCTTGCAAGTTCAAGAAGATAGCTGTGGGTTTTACAAAGACACTGTTTCAACTCTATTGGCTAAGTTGAAAGATAGTGATACCAAGGTAACTAATTTCATCATTCTGCTACTAAAATGAAGTGTGATTCTCTGGTGTGAAATTTTACTTCATCTGTCTCCTGATATGAGCAAACTTTTTCTCTAGTTTCTAGTTGTAAACGGCTTTCATCAACCACAAAACTTTGATGGGTGTTAAATGATTGTTTGAAGATTTCATTGCAAATTAGACTTCTTTTTAATTTTGATTATAATGTTTGGGTGTTGCAGCATATGAACGTATGACTGGAACAGAAGGAAAATTATATATAACTAGTATTTTAGCACATGCAGTACACGAAGTAAATGCTTATTTTTAAGTCAATACTTTTAATATACAAATTATATTGTGAAATTACAATCAATAATTTATATTGTTATTAAAGGTATATTTTGATTATTGACAATTACTTTTTGAAAAAATGAAAATGCAATATATTTGGAAATAAAGATAAAAATAATATATTAAAAAAAACTAGCCGTATAAAGAATAAGGGCACGGATAGAGATGAAAGGAGGGTGAATTGAGCTGAATGAGAAATAATTTTTTTTGTACTTGTTAAATGAGATTAAATTGTGCTTAGTATATAAGATTGGGACAAGACATGTAACTTAAGGCTAGTGAGAACATTTCTACAACAGTCATTTAAAAATGCTCTCATTAAAAATACTTTCTTTTTAATAATGAGGATAAGATATATAGATACATTTTGTTCTCTCAAAATTTAGATGAACTTTTGTTGAATAAACTGCTAACCATTTATTTTAAAATGTCAGTTAGAGATAATTGACACAACATTGAATGTGTGCAATTCAGTGGAGAAGTATGCAAGTAAGGTGAGGAAAATCCTACTAATTCCTTCATTTTCTTCATTTGTATTCAATCATATGAAGTTTCAATTTCCAACTTTTATCATATTGACCAAATTAGAACTGTCACGCTTGAACCCCAGTAATTAATTTCCTTGCAAGATACTTTCATGGATTTGCCAACCTCCTAAAGAAACAAACTCTGTAACAATTATCTTCAGATACTGGTAGGAAGGATTTTTCAAGTTAAGGATAGTGATTATAGGATCTGGATTGACTAAGTTATAATGTACATTATGAACTAGGCCAATACATGCATGCACAAATAAGAATTTTGCAGTGTTGTGTAGAAAGTGCACAAGAACATAATTTTCCTAATCCCCTTTTGACTTTGATTTTTTATTTATCTTCCAAATTGCTTGCAGTGCACAAGAATGGTTTTGGAGTATGGAGCCTTGGTGTTTGACAATGCAGAGAAATTCCTGGAGAGCACAGATATGTGCACTACAATATATGCCCTGCAAATGTTTAACAGTGGCTGGCCAACAAGCCTTTCTTTAAGACTCTTATGGAAACAACGTTCTAATAAATTTGTGGTGCAGTTGTTGCAGAAGATTGCCATATACCTAACTACACATTGAAGGAGAGAGTAAAAGTTTGATACATTATCAGTGTAAAGTTTTTAATACTATATATCTAATTGTGTGTCTGCATATTATTAAAAAGGCCAAGACTTTCTATGTTGCAGTTGTAATACTCATTCATATTTAATTATTTGATAATACAGAATTTGATGTTTACAAGCAGTTCCTCTAAAGAGAATCCAGATATATTTTTATGGTGTCTTGGGGTATATATATATATATTTACTTTCTTAATTTACACATTTTCTCATTTTATAGGAACTAAATTCCATTTATCCATGTATGCTTTTGCTATGAATCTACTCAAATTATTTGTCAAATTGTTGAACTATTTAACCGAACTAATGATAGAAATCCAGAACTTTTGAGGAATGAGGGATATAAATGTACACTGACATTAACATTTTTGTGAAGTATAAATATACATTACAATTATTATACAAAAATAAGTGAAAGAAATTCAAATAACTAACCTCCTAAGAATAAAAATAAGTTTTTTTTCTCAGAATTTTATTTTCACAATTCAACTTGCTGAAACATTGAATTTTCTGGAAAAAGAAAGAAAGAGGCAACTTTAATATTTTTTTTTCTTTTCTTTCTTCTGCTATGACCACCGTTCTCAGTATGAATTTCAATTACTGCAATAAAAGCTCATCTGTTTTTTCCCTTCATGCTGCAATTCCAACAAATTTTTACCCGAGCTATGTCCATTGTATGTACTTTCATAATTCATTTTTTCTGTTCCAATTTATTTGCTCCATCGGCAGACAAAAAATTGATGGTATAGCAAATCATTTTGATGACTACATGGTGTCTTTTGTGTTAGAACCATTCTAGCCACTGGAAATTGATGGCTCATATAACAATAAAGTTGAATCTGTGTGTGTGGTGTCATTGCCATATTTCTAAGTGTTGGACAGTATACAGAAAACCAGGATCACTATTTTCTCTTAACCTATTTGGATTAGAAACATCTGTGTTTTCTGGTCCCTGCTTATAGAGGGTCCCCCCAGGTGTAATTTTCACATCTTGTACTGAAAGATGATATATAACCATAAGGTGTGGTTCATGATGTGTTGATATTTTATTTGTAGTGTTTATGTGGATTTGAATTCTTCCTTGGTAATAAATAATGAGACAATGACAAGTTACAAAAACGAAGGATGAAGAAAAAAAAAGAGAAAAAAAAAAGAATATACATGAATAATTTTATTCATCCAATTTCATATTCTAGTCCTTAGATTTTGTAACTTAATATCTTCATAATCCATAAGATGACTAGTTAGTGGGAAGAATTAATTATGTGCTTTGTGAGCATTGAAAAGTTGAGGAAAATATCCCTCCATAATTTATGTTTGAATTTGGTTGTGTGGAGTAGAGGCATCCACTCATCAATGGAAAGCATCGTTTGAGGCTATGCCATTATTTCAACTGTTTTTGTATTAACTCGTTGTTACGTGCATGGCTTTTCTTGGCTTGTCAATGAAACTTCACCCTCTCAAAAATGGTTAATTAGGAGAAGAAAAACAACATAAATATAGTTATAAATAAATTATAAATCAATCCTAATATAAATAAATATGATATTATTTTTTATTTAAGATTTTAAATCAATCGTTATATATACATATATATATATATATATATATATATATATATATATATATTATTTTAATTATATTCTAATTTATGATTAACTTCAACCAAAATATTTATTTTGAACCATACCGTTATGGTCAATAAGCATGCATTAAGTGAAAATGATGTTTAGTGGGCATGCATTCATCTTCAAGACTTTTGAAGTCTCATTTAAATTTTGTTGTATTTTTATATGTGCGACTTCATTGCATGCGCCCATGGCGAGGGTACTTTCAGAATCATGTTCCTCACAAAATTTTATATTTTTTAAATTTTACTAATAAAAATATTGTTTTACTTTCTTAAAAAATTATATATATATATATATATATATATATATATATATATTAGTTTTTTAAAAATAGTTTTCCTTTTTTATTTTAAAAATGTATTTATTAACTGTTCTATTGAAATAATTTTTAAAAAATATTTGTTTTAAATATTTTTAAAAACTTAAAAATAAAAATTAATAAAAAATATTTTATTTTTTATTAATAAATTTCAAAATTTTGATTAATAATTATATTAAATCTCACATTTTTATTATCATAAAATTATCAAAATCATTTTTTCTTTCTCTAAAACAATTTCAAAAAATAGATATAATTATTAAATAAGTTTTTTTATTTATTTTCGAAAATATTTTTTTTAAAATTAATATCTAAAATTAGTTTTAACGTTTTAAAAAACTAAACAACTCTAAACTCTCTTGCCTCACAAATCATAGTATCTAACACTTTGTTTAGACCACGTTATTTTATTATTTCATCGTTTGTCATAGTATATAACAAATAATGTATTCTACAGAAAAAAAAACTCGTATTCAACTAAAAAAACAGAGATAGATAGAAGAGAAGAAGCAATTCAATGTATAAAAATTGATAAAAAAATAATAATTATTTGAAGAAATGTTTTTAAAAAATATTAAAAAATAAAGTTAATTATAAATGAAAAATAGTTTAAATATAAAATAAAAATTAAAAATAAATAACTCAATACAAAATTATTAATTTGAAATTAAAATCACATTCTATAAGTTAATAATTCTAAAAAAAAATACAATAATAAGTCACCATAAAAAAAAGTTGTTTAATATTATAGATAAATCTAAATCATAAATAATTATAAATTTGAATTTTTCTCAATATTAAAAATAATAGACGAAAATACTTAAATCAGTTTAAGATAAGTATTAACGGTAAAATAAATAATTTTATTTATAAAACTTTTATTAATTTTTTTAAAATAATAATTTAAATCTATTTAATATTAATTATTGTCTTTTTATTATAATATTATATATAATCAAATAACCATATGCATTTATTAGACATTATTAATATAATATAAATAATTTTTTAAAACATTGGAGAAGCTGAAACGGGGACAATTTACATTAGGATGCACGATCTGACCAACATGATTATGAAACAATCGCCCAGTCGATTTTGATTTAATGTCAAAATATAATTCGTGTTAGTTTATGTAAATAATTTGACTAGCCAATCGACTTTGTAATATAAGAAGACGCATGGTGTTTGTTTTTATATATATATAATTAATGTAAATAACATTCAGATATAATCTAATTTTAAAATATATATTTTCTTTTATTTTGAAATAAGCATTAATATTTTTATAATTTTAATAGATTACATTCATCTCTTATATTTTAATAAAATAAAATTTATCTTCTTCATTTTATTTACATATTTAACCAATTAATATAAAAATATAAAAAAGTTAATATTTCAAAATATAAACTTACAAAATAAAAAAATAAAAAATCTTATATTTTTTAATATGTCATAAACAATCTTATATTTATAATTAGTATTGTTTCTTTAAAAATTATCAATCTTTAGGAAGCATCCCTCTATAGATAAAGATTACTACGAAGCCTGTTGTCGTAATCACTAAAGAGATATTTTCTAAAATTAACCATTTTCTTAATCATTCTTTCATACAACATGTGATTATATTTTACTTCAATATGTTTCAATTGAGCGATGATAGTGAAGTCAACGATTATTATATGCCATTGTTTTGGGCGATAAGATTGAATATTTGTTTATGTATAGTCTTTTAAGATAACAAGTATGGTTGGTGTGAAGAGATAATTGCCACATAAAGAAATAATAGAGATAATTATTAATTTCAATATTTAAAACCAATTGGCACATGAAGAATATCACATTATTTTATTCCTAACATAATTAATAAGTCTAAAAAATTTGATCCTAGCTTGTGGCCATTTATACTAACACTAATAAATACTATTAATTTTAGTTATATTTTTATGCATCTTCTATATAATGCTCCTAATACTCATATAACATACGAAATATTAGCAGAATCACTAGCAATTTTCATTGGGGAAGAACCATCACATATGTTTCAAGATACTTAGTTACTTTAAAAATGAGAAGAAACATTTATAGATAATAAATATATTTATAATCGTTGATTACAAGTTATCTGTTAATAATTCACTTTTCACTAGAAAATATTGAGATAATATGTTGAAATTTTTGTTGTTGTTAGTAATAGGGAAAAATTGTCTAATGTAAATTTAACTTCATTAACAAATAAAGATTATTTGAAAATGATTTGGACCACATTATGTGAACTTCACATATCAACTTAAGAACGTCAATTGTTTGAGCCTTACACTTTCTTTATTTGATGTCCCTTCATTTATTTCATTAATGTAGCATTTTTATAATATATAAATATACTGATATTCTTCTTATAATAAATGTTTATCTAATTTCATTCAATTTAAATGGTTTGGATTGAGTTGAGCTTTTTGATTTATTATTATTTAGGGATTAACTCGATTGTGTATTGAATTATAGAAATGAGTAATTTAAGAAAAAATAAACTCCAAAAAAAAATTCAAAATACATTTTCAATAGTTTTTAATATTTAAAATAACAACAACCTTATATAATCAAAATATTTTTTTATGGTTAAATTATTAAATTATATATATATATATATATATATATATTTGATATTGATATCAATAGTAATATTATTTAATATATTTTATTATTATTTCTTGAAAATCTATTTTTAAAATAGAAAATTTTAACATGAATTTAAATATAATCTATAAATTAATTTCATGATTTCTATTAAAGTGAAATGAATTTAGTTTAAAATTATAATTTTTTTTATTTAGATTGAGAAAAAAATTAAGCATCAAATTATAATTATAACATGATTTTTGAACAATCGTAGTTATAGCACAATTATTAAGATAATATTTATTTAACTTTATTAATATGTTTTTTACAAAATATACTATATATAGTTTATAAAGTAAAATGCATTCATATCACTCATTATTTTTTGAATTGTGTCTGATATATTATGATAAAAAAATTAAAAATAATATTAAACATGGGACAATGTCAAACATATTCACATAAAAAAATATGCACATGTAATTTATGTTCCCAAAAAGGTACAAAAAATAATAATTTATTTTGAAAAGTAATAAATAATATATATATATATATATATATATATATATATATATATATATATATATATATACATCATAGAAAAAGAATCATAATAAAAAATATTATTTAATACATTAAATGTGAAATGTCAATTCGTAATTAAGTTTGAAAGATATGCGTAGGTGACACTTAAGAAACAGTGACCTATGCATCAACCACTTGGCATTACCACAAATTGTTCCACGTAACGTAACTTTGTATATTCCAATGTCATAATCGCAGACCGTAACTAGCTTATTAAGTACATGGGTCACGACCACGTGGCGTTTCGTGAACGGTTATTTCCATGAAACGAAGCTTCATTGTCTATTACACATTTTCATTATGGTTCAGTCTGAAACGAAACCCTTCCAAAATATTTAACATTTTTGGAAATGCTCAATGATGATGAATTAATGAAATTTGTTTCTTTTTTTACGTTAAGTGGTGAATGATGGTGGTTTAATCTTAGAGGGACGTAGCAATGTTCAAAGTTGGCAAATTTAAGTGATTGGTTTGCCCCAAGAAAGATGTATGTAGGTTTGTTACATTGCTTCTAAGAATAATACCATAATTATATGACTGCATTTGATGGTTGTTGTAGTGCTCCACTTGCAACGATTTTATATGCTTTAGAGCAAAATATCTTTCCCTCTACGTTATGCTTCCAAATACTTCAGAGACCGATTAGGCAACAACTTGGTTCTTTAATTTAGCCACCTTAAAAGAGGATTTCCACTAATTAATCCTCATCTCTTTCAACCGCACTTTACTTTTATAAAGTTGGGAATAATTAATTTTGGTTCAATTAATTTTAAATAATGAAATATAATTAAGCCATGTGTCTATCTTAATTCTAATAATAAATTTTGTTTGGAAATACGTATACAACGGAAATAATTGATTTTTTTACAAATAAAGCAAATAAAAGTCCTGGTTGTGTTCATCGAACTTAATGTAAGTAATCAAAAGAATAATTCAAACTACAAATTTTTGGAATTCTAAATAATCGTCAAAATTATTATTAGGAAATTTTTATTCCTTATGACGCTATATGGTCAATAATTATTTGAATAAAACTACTGTCCATGTGAACAAAGTTTCATTTCCTTATGATTCTTATTTATCTACTCTCTCACTTAAATATTTTAATACATTTTTATTCTTCTCTCTTTTTATATATATTTCTCACACACTATTCTTTGTGCGGGGTGGGTTAGTGAAAAGATAAATAAAAATAAATTGGTGGTCTTAATTTCAAACAGAGATTAATGTTTATATCTTTAATCGATAGTCCAAAATGTGTTAGAGCCATTATTTATTAAGCCAAATAATAAAGTGATCTAACTAAATTAAAGTTTTATTAAAGACATATGTCAGTGAAAATAAAATTGTGTAGAGGCAATAGAATAATTTCTAATTTGATGAGGGACCAAATTGGGAATACTAAAAACTTAAGTAATTAACCTAATTACGGTTATTTAAAGGGTCATGGTCACTTCGGGAGCATACGTACGAAACGTAAGTATAAGTCCAGTTCACTTTCTTTATCACCATCAGAGAGAAAATCCAGGAGGAAAATACAGGTCTTCTCAGAGTGAAAGACAATAAGATCAATAGTGCTCTAAAAGGGACATCATCATTATGGTAAATTCAGGTATGTTTTCGCATTCAGTTTACAATATGTTTATCAGTATGTGATTACATTTATATTTGATCGTTAGAATGAAGATCATAATTAATTACAGTTTACCTAACAAGTGGTTCCGCCCATACTTGATTCATATTTGTCTTAGGAAATATTTAAGAATTGGAATTAATTTACGGAACCCTTAATCCCTAATTAAAAACCCCAAAATTGAGAATTCTAGGGTTTCTTAAAAAACTCAATTCTCTGTTCTACGTGTGGCATTATCCACGAATTCCTACTTCTGCATCTGCACCACGCTCTTGTCCGGCCGAGGCGGAATGAAAAACCTGTGATACTATAACTCCTACGTGTCTTCTTCTGCAATCTCTCTCTCTCTCTCTCTGGCACCAATATTTCAGAATTCAGAATACAACACCTTCCATCGCCACATATTTGGGATCGTCGGTGATTGGATCAGAACATTTGAAATAAGCTATCGACGGTTGAGAAAATGGGTCCAATTTCAGCAGATCCGTTCCAGGGCCCAGAATGGGGTTACTGAAATTGCTAGAATACAAGAAATAACGAGGCATGAAGGAGCACGTACCGTCCTTCACATCACTCACTCGAATTTTGTATATGTTGTAATCGATTTCATGGACTCTGTATTTGCCCGAAAACAGAGTCAAGAAAGTTGCGTTGTTCTCGCAATGCAATTGGTACCGCTTGTCGCCGCAGTGAGAAGGGTCACTGCTGAGTCAAAAGGGGTAACGAATGTTGGGAATGTTGCCGCAGGAGGAAGCAGGACAATCGGAAATGAGCGTCGTGGCGGAAGTTTCTAGAAATAGAAGAATGGCGATAACGCGTATTCATATTGTTCATCTGTTCATCGTTGCAGCGGATCGTAGGCGGTGACACTTCGGCACGAAATTCATCACCATTGTCGGCAGCAACACTCGATTCAGCTCAGTTCTGCGCTTCTCTCCAGTTAACGTACATTACTTATTTGACTGTGAAAACGCTTCTCTTTCATGCGCTGTTTTTGAACGATGGTGATAAATTTTTGCACTCTTTGTGTCAATGACATTGAAACATTGAATTATTAAGCATTGTGTTTAGGGGGAACTGACATCAGTGGCTAGAATTTCTTGACATGGTTTCACCGTGATTTTACAAAAGAGAAGGAGCCCCTTCTTCAAACCCCTTTGTAGTCAATCTAGTCGCATTATTTTTTGGGTTCTCGAGTGTTGGGCACGCTCACCCGCTAGAATCTGGTGAGTTAGAAGGTTTGACCCAGTTTCCCTTCTGTTCATCTGCCATTACAAAACATAAAAAAAAAAAAAAAGTTGCTAAAAGGTGGCCAGCTTGGTGAGGCCTGCCACGTGTTTGTTGCAATGCCTGTGAAAGATGTTGTTACTTAGAACTCCATTGTTTTGAGTGTTGGAATTGGCCTTGGGGATAGGGATTGATGTTCGACTGCTCATGCGGTGATGGCAAATTTTAGATGCAGCTCCTTCATATAGTGAGAAAAAAATAAAAAAAAAAGGGCGTGAGGGACGACGTTGGCATTATGATTGGCCATTTGGCCTATGGCTCAACAAGAATTAATTTGCCTTGTTAATTTTAAATAAATAATTATTAAATATTTGGTTTTGTAATATAAATAAAATATTAATTTTTGGTAGTTTAATATTTTTTGAACAAATTGAGTCAAGAAGTTACCAAAGTAACATTTCTTGAATTGGGTAGTTCAGTAAAAAAATATTGAATGTTAATGTTTGTGTATATTCATGCGAGTATTAGTCGGCCCAAAGGAAGATTAATATTTTGCCGAATTACATACACACCTGTTGAAGCACTTGTTGGATTTGATGAAGACATATAGAGTTTATAGAGTTTAGTTTGTGGGTGTGTAGGTGAATAGGTTATAGGTTTAGAATTTAATCTCTTGATAGTTCAATAGATCTTGTGATAAGCGCCTAAAAATGATGCATTTCATATAATTTATTTTACTGCATGAAAAACCAATCTTTAAGCATTAAAAGAACAAACTAAGTTTTTCAATATGTTAAAAAGAAGTTTCAATCTGTTAAAATCACTTAAAATAGGAAATGTTCATATGGTGTCAAAATTTTAATTGATTGAATCGCAGAATCAACAGGTTAAAATGTTCTTAATGATTTTTTTATATATTAAAGGTTTCGCAATTTTAATATGTTGAAATCAAGTTCAATCTGTTGAAACAGAGAGATGTTATTTTTCACTTTGAAGTATCACAGGATTTCAATATGTTGAAATGAGTTTTAATCTGTTGAAACAGAGAGATCATTTTTTCATTCTAAGGTATCACAGGATTTCAATATGTTGAAATATATTTTAATCTGTTGAAACAGAGAGCTACCATTTTTCTTCTAACTGTTTCAATCCATTGAAAACTCAAAACAACCGATTGAATTAGTTTTTAAATGAAATCAATCGATTTAATCGATTGAAAAATATTCTGATCGATCACAACTCAATTCTGATCGATCATATCTGGTTTTGATCGGTCATAAAGTTATTCTGATCGGTCATCTGCTACTCCAAGTCATTTTAATTGATTGAATCTATCAGTTTCTCACTTTTACTCTATAAATACAGTTTTGGTTTCTCTGTTAAAAACATACAATTTGGAAAACATTAGAAAGCAATCTTAGAGCTCTCATATTCGTGCCTTTCTTTGTGCATTCATAAACTTTTCATATCATAAGGCGTTTAGATCAAGATTGTTGAAAGTTCATCAAGAGAGAAAGTTCTGAGTTAGAAAAATTGCTTCTGGACTTCTATATTGTTAAAGTCTGCGATCCGGGTTTATTCTTTTCATATACTTGTACAAAGTTCAATTGTGTAGATTGGGTTTGAATGCATGCTTGGTTACGATGATCGGGTTTAGTTCTTGGGTGGTTAATTCAAGAGTCTATCTTGTGGTGTTGTAAGATAGTTCTTGGGGTAGATTGATGTATATCTACTGGTTTGTATTTTCACTTGGAATTAGTGGAACTTGGCAGATTTGTCAAGAACTGGATGTAGCTCTGGGAAAGAGTGAACCAGTATAAACTCTTGTGTTGAATTTCTGCTTTCATCTCTTTTCAATTCTTGCTTATATTCTTGCTTTGTTTAAAACCAAATATGCCTAATAAAATATTGGATAAAGATTAACCATTCTTCCAAAAGAAAGAGTGTTTTTTAGAAAAGATTTCAAAAGTTCAATTCACCCCCCCTCTTGAACTCAACCATTAATTCTTACACCTGTAATGATAAACATGTGATAATTATAAGGATTTGTTTTGTCGACGATAAATCAATCCAAAGACTGGTTTGTTGTTGGACATGCTTTATTGTCAATGTTTGATTATTACAACAAGATACCTCTAGCAGTTAATATTATTGTCCAAAGACTTGATATTGATGGTGCATGGATGTCTTGAGATGGGTTAAACCATTATTTGAATATATATTTTATTTATAATTATTTATTTTTATAATGTGACATTAATTATTTATTTCTTTTGTTCTTAATTCAGCTACAATTGCTTCGTATCTTCCAATTTAAATTACGTTTTGGTCCTCGATGGAACAAATTTTAAGGATCTGGAAAGAGAACATTGATATTATATTAGTGGCGGATCTTGACTATTGATCTTGGGGGGGCCAAATAATATATTATTAATAAGTAATAAATAAATATAAAAAGAAGAAAGAAGATGAAAGGTAAAAAAATAAAATTTTAGATATATACTTTAAATATATTAAATGATCATTAAGTTTGAGGGGAATAAAATCATAAATTATATGAGAGTTACAAAACTGAGGAGGGGCTGAGAGGATAAAATTATAAATATACAAGTAAATATATTAAATGTTCATTATGTTTGGGGTGCCAAAATCATAAATTACATGGGAGTTACAAAACTTTGGGGGTCACGACCCCCTCGGTTCCAAGAAGATCCGTCACTTGGATATTATTCTTGATCGCATGGATATGGATCTTGCGTTAAGGATTGAGCAACCCCCTGTTCCTACGGATTCAAGTACCTCTGAATAGAAAAGAGATTATGAGAAGTGGGATCGCTCAAATCGCATGAGTCTAATGATCATTAAGCGCGACATCCCGGAGGTGTTTAGAGGCACTGTTTCTGAAAACATCACAAGTGTCAAAGAGTTCCTTGTTGAAATTGAGCAGCGCTTTGCAAAAAGCGATAAGGCGGAGGAAAGCACTCTTCTTCAGAACTTGATCTCCATGAAATATCAGGGCAAAGGAAATATCAGGGAGTACATTATGAACATGTCTAATGTTGTTTTTAAACTCAAGGCACTAAAGCTCGAACTCTCAGAAGACTTGCTCATTCATTTGATGTTGATTTCTCTTCCCGCAACGTTTAATCAGTTTAAGGTATCTTACAACTGTCAGAAGGATAAATGGTCTCTTAATGAGCTTATTTCACATTGTGTACAAGAAAAAGAAAGGCTAAAGCAAGACAAGATAGAAAGTGCTCATTTTGCAAGCACCTCTAAGGCTAAAGGCAAAAGAAAGAGATCGGAGGATCCCAAGAAGGAAGTTGCTAAAGGTCCAGAACAAAAGAAACAAACTCAAGAAAACAAATGTTTCTTTTGCAATAAGACTGGACACGTAAAGAAACAATGTACTAAATATCATGATTGGCGTGAAAAGAAAGGGTTGCCTAAACTACCGGAAGCCAACTGATTCTGAAAGATGGATATACGTTGAAAACGGCAAATCGGTGGAGATGGAGACTATTGGACATTTTAGATTATTATTTTGTACTGATTTTTTATTTTAAATTTAAAAGACACTTTTGTTGTGCCGTCTTTTAGACGAAATTTGGTTTCAGTTTCTTATTTGGACAAATTAGGTTATTTGTGTTCATTTGAAAACAATGAGTTCAGTTTGTCTTTTAATTCAGATATTGTTAGAACATGTTCACTTTTGGCTCATGATAATCTATATTTACTTAATAGTGTGGTACTAAACGTAAAATTGACAATACTCACTTAGGTGCATTAAGGCACAGACGCTCAGGTCACAATCTAATCATGACGTTTGAGCTTGTGTTATACTCTTAAAGATATGGTAAGGAGTATAATTTGTCATTCCACCTTACCAGAATCACAATGGGGAGAGACACTAAAGATTGCAGCTTATATTATAAACAGAGTACCAATTAAAGCAGCTACCAAAACACCTTATGAGCTTTGGACTGGGCAAAAGCCTAGTCTAAAGCATTTCCATGTGTGGGATTGTCCAGCTGAGGCAAGGTCTTATAATTCAAATGAAAAGAAATTGGACTCCTGAATAGTAAGTAGTTATTTCATTGGTTATTCTGAAAGAGCCAGGGGATATAAATTTTATGATCCCACATTAAAGACAATTTTTGAGATGGGAACTGTTATGTTCTTTGAGGATATTGAGTTTGGGGGGAAGAATAAGATTAAGAATTTTGTATTGGAGGAAGAATCGACAATAAATCCAGAACCGATTCAAACAGTTACTTTTGATAAAGTAAGTTCGGAACCTCCACAAGACATTGATGATAAACCCCATATTCAAGATGATTTGATTGTTCGTCAAGACCAAACTCAAGATCCTCAAGAACTTGTGCGTCATGAGTCGGGGATACTCCAGTTACTAAGGGAGACAAGTTTAGTCTAAATTAGTGTCCAAAGGGGAATTTGGAAATTGAGGAAATGCAACAGATTCCCCATGCATCAGATATCGGGAGTTTGATGTATTCCCAAATATGTACGCGTCCAGACATAACATACATAGTTGGGGTTCTAGGCAGATATTTAAGCAATTTAGGAATAGACCATTGGAAAGCAGCAAAAAGGGTCATAAGATATTTAAAGAGAACAAAAGATTATATGCTCACATACGGAGGTCGGACCGGTTGGAAATCGGCTGGGTTTTCGACTCGGATTTTGCAGGATGTCAAGAATTTGTAGCATGCTATGAGACATCAAATCATGGAATATGGCTGAGAAATTTTGTCACACGTACGCAAATTGTGAAAGGCATTGAAAGACCACTTAAGTTATATTGTGACAATAAATTAGTCTGTATTGTTAAGGAAAGAGTACGAGT